AAGACTGTTGTGTGTGTTCTGACTGCTCCATCATCAGGCCCTTCCCCTGTCTCTCTCCCTCTCCTTGGACCTTCCTATTCTCTGATCCACCACAAAACTAAAATTAGGCCAACTAATTACCCTACAATAGCCACTAAGTGTGCAAGCAAAAGAAAAAGTCACATTTCTCAATTTAAGTCAAAGACTAGAAATAATTAAGCTTAGTGAGGAGTGCATGTTGAAAGTTGAGATAGGCTGAAAGCTAAGCCTCTTCTACCAGTTAGCCAAGTTGTTCATGCAAATGCAAAGTTCTTAAAGGAAATTAAAGTTCTACTCTAGTGAATCCATGAATGATAAGAAAGCAAAACAGCCTTATTGTTGATATGGAGAAAGCTTTAGTGGTCTGGTTAGAAGATCAATCATCTACAACATTCTCTTAAGTCAAGGACTAATCACAGCAAGGTCCCAACTCTCTTCAATTCTGTGAAGGCTGAGAGACTGAGGAAGCTACAGAAAAAAGGATGGAATCCAGCAGAGGCTGGTTTATGAGGCTTAAGGAAAGAAGCCATTTCCATAATATAAAGAGCAAGGAGAAGCTTCAGCAAGTTATCCAGAAAATCTAGCTAAGATAATAAATTAAGGGGTCTACCTTTAAAAACAGATTTTCAATGTAGTTGAAAACATCCTTTTCTTGGAAAAAGACACCACCTAGGACTTTCATAGCTAGGGAAGAGAGGTCAATGCCTGACTTCAAAGCTTCGAAAGACAGGCTGACTCTTTTGTTAGGGAATAATGCAGCTGGTAACTTTAAATTGAAGCCAAGGCTTATTTACCATTTAGAAAATTGTATGGCCCTTAAGAATTATGTTAAATCTACTCTGCTTGTACACTTTAGAGTAAGCAACAAATCCTAGATGACTCCAGAGCTCTGATGGAGATATACAAAGAGATGAATGATGTTTGTATGTCTACTAACACAACAGCTATTCTGCAGCCATAGATAAAGAGGTAATTTCAAACTTTCAGGTATTATTTAAGGAACACAGTTTTTGTTTTTTTTTTTTTTTTAATTTATTTATTATTATTAAACTTCAAGTTGTAGGGTACATGTGCACAACGTGCAGGTTTGCTACATATGTATACTTGTGCCATGTTGGTGTGCTGCACCCATCAACTCGTCATTTACATCAGGTATAACTCCCAATGCAATCCCTCCCCCCTCCCCCCTCCCCATGATAGGCCCCGGTGTGTGATGTTCCCCTTCCCGAGTCCAAGTGATCTCATTGTTCAGTTCCCACCTATGAGTGAGAACATGCGGTGTTTGGTTTTCTGTTCTTGTGATAGTTTGCTAAGAATGATGGTTTCCAGCTGCATCCATGTCCCTACAAAGGACACAAACTCATCCTTTTTTATGGCTGCGTAGTATTCCATGGTGTATATGTGCCACATTTTCTTAATCCAATCTGTCACTGATGGACATTTGGGTTGATTCCAAGTCTTTGCTATTGTGAATAGTGCTGCAATAAACATACGTGTGCATGTGTCCTTATAGCAGCATAATTTATAATCCTTTGGGTATATACCCAGTAATGGGATGGCTGGGTCATATGGTACATCTAGTTCTAGATCCTTGAGGAATCGCCATACTGTTTTCCATAATGGTTGAACTAGTTTACAATCCCACCAACAGTGTAAAAGTGTTCCTATTTCTCCACATCCTCTCCAGCACCTGTTGTTTCCTGACTTTTGAATGATCGCCATTCTAACTGGTGTGAGATGGTATCTCATTGTGGTTTTGATTTGCATTTCTCTGATGGCCAGTGATGATGAGCATTTTTTCATGTGTCTGTTGGCTGTATGAATGTCTTCTTTTGAGAAATGTCTGTTCATATCCTTTGCCCACTTTTGGATGGGGTTGTTTGTTTTTTTCTTGTAAATTTGTTTGAGTTCTTTGTAGGTTCTGGATATTAGCCCTTTGTCAGATGAGTAGATTGCAAAAATTTTCTCCCATTCTGTAGGTTGCCTGCTCACTCTGATGGTAGTTTCTTTTGCTGTGCAGAAGCTCTTTAGTTTAATGAGATCCCATTTGTCAATTTTGGCTTTTGCTGCCGTTGCTTTTGGTGTTTTAGACATGAAGTCTTTGCCCATGCCTATGTCCTGAATGGTACTACCTAGGTTTTCCTCTAGGATTTTTATGGTATTAGGTCTAACATTTAAGTCTCTAATCCATCTTGAATTAATTTTCGTATAAGGAGTAAGGAAAGGATCCAGTTTCAGCTTTCTACTTATGGCTAGCCAATTTTCCCAGCACCATTTATTAAATAGGGAATCCTTTCCCCATTTCTTGTTTCTCTCAGGTTTGTCAAAGATCAGATGGCTGTAGATGTGTGGTATTATTTCTGAGGACTCTGTTCTGTTCCATTGGTCTATATCTCTGTTTTGGTACCAGTACCATGCTGTTTTGGTTACTGTAGCCTTGTAGTATAGTTTGAAGTCAGGTAGCGTGATGCCTCCAGCTTTGTTCTTTTGACTTAGGATTGTCTTGGAGATGCGGGCTCTTTTTTGGTTCCATATGAACTTTAAAGCAGTTTTTTCCAATTCTGTGAAGAAGCTCATTGGTAGCTTGATGGGGATGGCATTGAATCTATAAATTACCTTGGGCAGTATGGCCATTTTCACGATATTGATTCTTCCTATCCATGAGCATGGTATGTTCTTCCATTTGTTTGTGTCCTCTTTGATTTCACTGAGCAGTGGTTTGTAGTTCTCCTTGAAGAGGTCCTTTACATCCCTTGTAAGTTGGATTCCTAGGTATTTTATTCTCTTTGAAGCAATTGTGAATGGAAGTTCATTCCTGATTTGGCTCTCTGTTTGACTGTCACTGGTGTATAAGAATGCTTGTGATTTTTGCACATTAATTTTGTATCCTGAGACTTTGCTGAACAACATTCGCAAGTCAATAAACATAATCCAGCATATAAACAGAACCAAAGACAAGAACCAAATATAAACAAGAACCGAATATAAACAGCATATAAACAGAACCAAAGACATCATTATCTCAATAGATGCAGAAAAGGCTTTTGACAAAATTCAACAGCCCTTCATGCTAAAAACGCTCAATAAATTCGGTATTGATGGAACGTACCTCAAAATAATAAGAGCTATTTATGACAAACCCACAGCCAATATCATACTGAATGGGCAAAAACTGGAAAAATTCCCTTTGAAAACTGGCACAAGACAGGGATGCCCTCTCTCACCACTCCTATTCAACATAGTGTTGGAAGTTCTGGCCAGGGCAATCAGGCAACAGAAAGAAATCAAGGGGATTCAGTTAGGAAAAGAAGAAGTCAAATTGTCCCTGTTTGCAGACGACATGATTGTATATTTAGAAAACCCCATTGTCTCAGCCCAAAATCTCCTTAAGGAACACAGTTTTTAAGGCTGTACTGTAGCTGCCATAGATAGTGATTCCTTTGATTGAATCTGGGCAAAGTAAATTGAAAACCTCTGGAAAGGATTCATCATTGTAGATGTCATTAAGAGTATTCGTGATTCATGGGAGGAGATCAACATATCATCATTAACAGGAATTTAGGAGAAGTTGATTCCAGTACTAACAGATGACTGCGTGGTTCAACACTTCACGAGAGGAAGTTACTACAAATTGGCAAGAGAACTAGAAGTAGAAGTAGAGCCTGAAAATATGACTGAATTGTTACAATTTCATGATCAAACTTGAACACACAAGGAGTTGCTTCTTTTTTTTTTTTTTTCCTTTTTTTTTTTACTTAAAAAGAGTTTTTTAGAGATGGGATCTTGCTCTGTCACCCAGGCTGGGGTGCCATGGCATGATCATGGCTCATTGCAGCATTGAAATCTTGGGCTCAACCAGTCCTCCTACCTCGGCCTCCTGAGTAGCTGGGACTACAGATGCATACCACCACACCTGGCTAATTAAAAAAAAAAAATTGCAGGATGGGGTATTGCTCTGTTGCCCACGTTTGTCTCAAACTACTGGCCTCAAGCAATCCTCCTGCCTCAGCCAGGAGTTGCTTCTTATGGATAACCAAATAATGTAGTGGGTTTTGTTGTTGTTGTTGTTGTTTATAAAATGTAATTGTATTTTACGTTACTCTGCTGTTACATAGGACATATCATTTTCACAAGGCTTTTTTGGGACAATGGTCAATGGTTAGCAATGCACAATAGTGGTCCAAATCTCTAAATAACAATGCTAGACAAACTGGACTCCCCCTCACATATGCACATATCTGCATGGAAGAGTACTAAAGTTGTAGACTTGGACTTGAGTACTTTTATTTGTTTCCCCTTTGTAGTGTATGAAGAAATATCATACACTTTAATTCCCAAAAGCAATTCTTGTATTCTGGCAGCAACATGCTAATCCTATTACACAGCAAAGTGAATACCAGAACTACAAAGGCAGGAGGTGTAATTGAATTTTTATTTGGAAGGGAGGTTGTCAACATAAACAGCAGCAAATAAAGAGTGAATAAGGAAAGTCCCTCTTGCCACACCTCCATAATATGTGATATAGGAGGCATTTCAATTTGTGACCTCCAGCCAGAAATGGCAAGTGCTTTTCCATTCAATTTAATACTTCTGGATTCCTACTAAAAAGGAATATATTAGGAGCATGGAAAAGTTGCTTATTGAAAGGAAACACTGAAGAGTATGGGAGGGAATGTAGAAATTAGGAAGTTATGTGGAACACTCTTTAAAGTGTAGGTAACTACATTTTCATATCTTCACAGTAATACAAAACACAGTCACTTGCAGAACTGGTTCAGATTGCTTAAATACCAAATACATTTTTCGTCCTCTACCTAAGTGTTTGGAAGTTGCTTATGTTTATATGAAATGAAGGTATTAAGACTACAGCAGTAACTGCACACCAGGAAGGCCAAGACAAATCAAGGAATGAAGTTTTCCTAATGCTGCAGTGTGAAAAGACTATAAACAGATGATTCCATATGCATAAATGGGTTTCTTTGCTATAGGAAATACAAGTGGAATAAGGAATGGAGATGTGTAAAAAGGTTTATTGAAGGGAAGAAGGATGACACCATGGGTTTAGTTTCAGCCCCTTCTGCTGCATCACATTCTTCTCCTTCACTGTCTGAGGTCCATAGTGTTAGGCTGTCTCTAAGCAACTGCATAATGAGGGTGCTGTCTTTGTATGAGTCTTCATTCAGTGTATCAAGTTCTGCAATGGACTCATCAAAAGCCATTTTAGCCAGTGTGCAGGCAAGCTCTGGGTGAATATGAATCTCATAGTAAAATACCGAAAAGTTAACAGTAAGCCCCAGGCAGATTGGATGAGTGGATTGTATCTCTTTCTTGCTTATATCAAATGCCTCTTGGTAAGCTCCTTGGGAATTATCTGTCATTTGTTTTTGATTGTCACCACATGCAACTTCAGCAAGGTACTGGAAGTAACCACCCTTCATTTTCAGATAGAAGACACCAGTCTCTGGACTAGTTGCATTGGCTATCAGATATTTATCCAACAATTCCAGGGCCGTGGTGCAGATCGATCTCAGCTCGGACTCCACTTTCTCCCAATAGTCCTTAATCAGCTGCAACTTCTCGTCAGAGGTGTCTGTCTTCTGCTTGATGCTTGAGATGACCCTACAGGCAAACCTGCAGTCCCCAACCACATTCTTGTAGGCCACGGAAAGCAGGTTGCACTCCTCCTTGGACAGCTTGGTGCCCTGCTTGGTCATGGTCTTCATGCAGGTAGCCATATCATCATAGCACTTGGGCAACTTGGCCTTCTGGATCAGCTCCATCTTCTCTGTGGCAGGCGTGCGGGTAAAAGTAGTTTATTGAGATGGAATTTGCTCCTGGTGAAGATGCTGTGAACGTTGTTGAAATGAAAACAAAGGATTTAGAATATTACATAAACTTAGTTGATAAAGCAGCAGCAGAGTTTGAAAGGATTTACTCCAGTTTTGAAAAATATTCTACTGTGGGTAAAATGCTATCAAATAGTGTAGCATGCTATAGTGAAATATTTTGTGAACGAAAGAGTCAATCAATGTGGCAAATCTCATTGTGTTATTTCAAGTAATTGCCATAGACACCCAAACTTTGGCAAACACCACCATGGTTAGTCAACAGCCATCAAAATCAAGGCAAGAGGCTGGGTGCGGTGGGTGGCTCATATCTGTAACCCCAGCACTTTGGGAGGCCAAGGTGGGTGGATTGAGATCATCCTGGCTAACATAGTGAAACCCTGTTTCTACTAAAAATACAAGAAATCAGCTGAACATGCTGGCAGGCACCTGTAGTCCCAGCTACTTGGGAGGCGGAGACAGAATGGCGTGAACCCAGGAGGCGGAGGTTGCAGTGAGCTGAGATCGCGCCACTGCACTCCAGCCTAGGTGCCAGAGCAGGACTCCATCTCAAAAAAAAAAAAAAAAAAAAAAAAAAAAGAAACAAATCAAGGCAAGAGCCCTTACCAGCCAAAAGGTCATCACTCATTGAAGGATAAGACAATCATTAGCTTTATTTTAGCAATAAGGTTTTTTTTTTTTTTTAAATTAAGGTATGTACATTGTTTTGTTGATGTAATGCCTACTGCACTTAATAGACTACAAGATAGTATAAACATAACTTTTATATGCATTGGGAAACAAAACAAAACGTGGCTCGCTTTATTGCGATATTAGCTTTATTGTTATGGCCTGGACTTGAACTTAAAATATCTCCGTGGTATGCCTTTATATACAGAAAGATTTATTTCAAAGAATTCGCTGATACAATTATGGAGATTTGGTAAGTCCAAAATTGATGGTGTAGGCCAGTGTGCTGTAGACTGAGGGAGAAGTTTTAGTTCAAGTTGCAAGTTGTGTCTTCCTGGAAAAATTCTTTTTTGGGAAACGTGTGTCTTTGGTCTATTTAAGCGTTCAACTGATTGTATAAACCCCACCCCCACATTAGGGAAAGTAATCTGTTTTACTTACGGTTGTGTTAGCCTTTTGGGCTGCTACAAGTACCATAGACTCAGTATATGGTATTCTGTTATAAACAACGGAAATGTATTTCTTTCTGGAAGCTGAGAAGTCCAAGATTTAGGGACTAGTATATTCAGTGTCTGATGAGGCCCCATTTTCTCAAAGACAACCATATTCTTGGTGTAACTTCTCATGGTGGAAGGAGAAAACACGCCTCCCGAGACCTCTTTTATGAAGGCACTAATCCCATTCTTCAGGGCTCTACCCTCAGGACCTAAATACCTTCCAAAAAGCCCCACATACTAATGTCATCGCTTTGGGAGTTAACACTTTGAACATTTGAATTTTGGGGAGATACATGCATTCAATTGCAGCACCAATTTAAATGTTAATATTACCCAAAAAACACTTAGTCAGCTCAGGCTAGCATAACAAAAATACCATAGACAGGGTGACTTAAACAACAGAATTTATTTTCTCACAGTTCTGGAGGCTAGAAGTCCAAGATTGAGGTTCCAACCAATGCAGTTTCTGGTGAGGGCTGTCTTCTTTGCTTGCAGATATTAGTCTTCTTGCTGTGTCCTCACATGGCGAGACAAAGATATTTCTCTTTTCTTCTTCTTAGAAAGCCACCAAACCTATGGGATTAGAGCCTTACTTTTTTGACCTCGTTTAACCTTTGTTACCTCCTAAAGTCCCCATCTCTAGATACAGTCACATTGGGGGTTCAGGCTTCTGCATATGAATTTGAGGGCATGGCACAATTTAGTCCACATTATGCACCTGCCACTCCCCCAAAAATCTTACGTCCCTATCTCATGCAAAGTACATTCATTTCATCCCAATAGCCCCAAAAGTCTTAACTTATCCAGCATCAACTTTAAAGTCCAAAGTCTCGTGCAAAAAATCCTCAAAATTATCAAATTATCAAAATTATCAAAAATATCATCTAAATCATACATGGATGAGTCACAACGCTCTTTGACAATGTAGCTAGTGAACCAAAACCTGTGATTTATCTAAGGCAAAATTCCTCTCCAGCTATACACTTGTAAATACAGACTGTGTTTTCAAAAGATGATCGTGGAACAGGCATTGGATAGGTAAACACTTTCAGAATCATTTAGAATAAAGTTTGACTGAATATCTGGGCACTATAGCCCAGCTATAGTGATACATAAAATTAATCATCACACAAGGGAAAAAAACAAACGAACAAAAAAACACACCATTTTCAAAGGCCCAAACCACAAGTCCTTTGTCCAGACTCCTAAAGTAGCATCACCTGGAACTCATGCCTTCCCCAAAGGTCTGAGTCCCAACTCTCCTGGTGTCCTCTGTTGAATTTCTGAGGTATCAGCAATGACCAATTGGTACCCATTACCCAAAGGATTTTAATTCTAGGTCTCTGGTGTCCTCCTCTGAACTTTTAAGGTCTGAAAATGTCAATGTCTTTATTTTTGCTTTCCCACCCTAAGAAATGCGGGTTGATTCTTACAGTTACTGTCTAACTTAGTGTTCCCTGTTTCCTTTTTCATTTCAGTATACCTTAAAAATACCCCATGTTAAATTCTCCACATTAAAATACTTGATAAAGTTTCTATTTTATCTATTAATTCATGACTGGTATGCCATAATCCTGGTTTGCTTGAGACAACAAATCTATCTATCTATCTATCTATCTATCTATCTATCTATCTATCTATCTCTATTTCCAGTGTGTTTTTTACAGCGCCCTCTTTCACAAAAGTGTCTTAAACAATATATTATATTACCATGCTAAAAACAACCAACCATGCAGTAGAAATCAGAATATATGGGATCTAGTCCTGCCCTGCAAAAAATGTCATGTGGCCTGGAACAAATCACTTAACCTGAGGAGTAGATGATTATTTCTACCACTTATTATAGCTCCTAAACTCTAATTTCATCATCTATGATATTGTCATGCAATTTACCTATATATGCTTAAATGTGTTATCATTGAAATATTGATAAATATACACCTGGTTGGCATTAGAAGGTGCCACAGATGGCATGATTTTTAAGCAGTGTTCTGACGAAGGGAAAAAAAAATACTTAATCAGCAAAAATGAACTGTAAGAGCTTTTCTGAAAAAATTGTTAAGTCAATCTGATCACTATAGCGCCAGAATTATTGCAGCAGAAAAGGATAAATATATGTGATAATTTTAAGTACATAAAACTGTAGATTAAAATTAGTAGGTGACCTTCATTGATTTTTTTTTTTCTCTGTACAGGCACTGTTTTAAGTGCTTTGCCTATAATAATTCTATGAGGCAGCCATTATTATTGCTACCATTTTACTGATGAAAGACTTAGGAGGGTAAAATAATTTGTTTGAATATGTGCAGCAAGGAAGCAGTGATCCTAAGAAATGTACCTAGTTGTCTAATTTCATAACTTCTGTACCATAATTTTAAATATCAAGATTAATGTAGCTGGATATAGAAGAAATAAAGTTACAATGAAAGTTTGATGAGAGAAAGTATTCTACTTAAGCTCTATTAAAATATTTGGATGATTCCTTTCCAGAATTATGCCTATTTTAAATATCAAATATGTTTTGGTATAAACAATGTGTTATGTGTTCTTTCTATTTAAAAGTTACAAAGCTTCTTAAATAGAAGCATATATAGGTCTCTTATTTTTTCCCCTTTGTCCCATTGTTATCTTGAGGACAATTACTACAGTATAGAAAACAATAGAACAGTGAGATTTCAAAAGTTATATTAAGAAAATAATATATTTTAATTTCATTGTGGTTAAAAATTTAAAACCCAGTGAAAATAAATTAAAAAGTTAGTCCTTAAAGTAGACTTTTTACCACTCTCTGTGTGTCCAGTTTTCCTTGATTTTTACTTTACGAATTACTTTTTTACATTTAGTCTTTATAATATTGATATATAAATTAAATCAGAATTTTAATGTTTTTGTTCAAAGGCTGCTGCAAACTTGATTGAAATATCATTTCTGTCCAGAGTTTTCAATCAAAAAAGAATATAGCAACTCACCTTTCTGTCACTGTGATAGTGCAATTAAGATTGCCTCAAGTCAGTTACATTCTCTTTGTCCTAGATTCCTCATCCATAAAGTGCAAGTCACAATACCAACTACCCTAGAGTTGTAGTAATTGTAAAGTCCACCTAAATGCCAAAAACAGTCCTCTGCCACCATGCCTAGCTCTTCTTCCCTATCCATTGTCTGACTGCCTGTCCTCTTGCGCTTGTTGTTCTGCTTTATCTTACGTTTTTGTTTTGACTAGCTACTTGGAGTTTAGCATCTCCAATCAAAGGCAGTATGTTGATGTGTTGTTTTATTTTAATCCCTTTGGCCTAGCAGAATAATTGGTATATAGATAATACTAAGTAAATTTTTATGAAGGGAAAGAGTACATCAGTGAAAATGAGTGAGTGAAGTTGATAAAAGAATCCTTTCAATTTTTTCTACTGTAGAGAATTACATAGAAGAATTACATAGAGAATTTCTCAAGAGCTTGAACATCTAACTGAAGCTTTTCTAACAGGAGTAAACTATGTATACCCCATTCAACAACAAATGCCTAATTCAGAAGTGGGCAATCATTAAAAAAAGAGGAGAACTTGGATAACAAATTAACAGAAAGAAAATGTACAAACTTCATTCCTTCATTTATTATACTTCATTTGGAAGAGAGAAAAAAAATTTAAATCTTCATACAAAGATCCCCTTGCTCATGAAGCTCTGCTTGTGTGAGTGTACATGTTCAATATTCAAACAGTATGCTAATTTAAAAGTTAGACTTGATCTCATCTATCATCTTAGAATTTTTATAAAATGGATACACATTAACTCCTGGGTGCATTTTACCTTTTACTCAGCAGGTAAAAGGTAAAAGAGTCCATAGACATTCTATCTTTCTTTATTGAGGACAATTTCTATAACATTTGTTTTAACGATGT